ACTGTTAGTCAGGTACTATTTTAGGTACTTTACATTAGCAACTCAACAACCCTGACAAGTTGCTTTTATTCTTCCTAATTTATAGTTGAGAAAACTGAAGCCCAGAAAGATTAGACGGCCTGCTCAAGACCATCTAGGAAGCAGCTGCATAATGACCCAACCTCGCCCTCCAGAGTCACAAGCTCCACATGTCCAAATCCTAACACTGGCTCTTCCAGACTTCCCTATCTCACACCTGGCACCAACGCCAAGTCAGAAGCTGAGTTGAAGAATCAGATTCTAGATGTGAAGAAATTTCAGAATTACTTTATTTCACCTGTATTTTCCTTTTTTATGAAAGTGCATGAATGATATGATTTTAAAGTCAACGCTCAGTCTAAGCTCTTGCAATGAGTATAAATAAATGCTAACTAACAAGAAAGCATTGTCATAATCTAGTCGGCTACATTTTCTCTTTGTTAGCAGTATAAAAAACGATGATGAAACTTAAAAATGCGGCATCTTACACATGCTGAAATTCAGTAGGCTGGATCTGATCTCACCACTTCCACCCTGGTCTGAGGCACCGGTATAGTCATCCGGCTTTCACAGAAAGTCTAACTGATCTATCTCCTTGCTGATACTCCTCGCCCAGCCTGCAGTAGTGGAGGTGAAAGAGGTAAGGTCACATCCTGCCACTGCCACTTCCTGTGTGACCTTGGGTAAATCACTTAACCACTCTGTGCCTAGGTACTCCCACCTGTAACATGGGAATAATGATACTCATGCCTACTTTTTGGACTGCCATAAGAATAAATGAATTAATATACGTAAAGCTTTTTAAATGGCCTGGCATCTAACAGGCCCAACAGCCAGAGTGGCACTTTCTAAAGGTAAATCAGATCATGTCATTCCCAAAGAAGGAAGATGCCGCTCTCCTCCAGTCTCGGTGCCTGCCACTCACCCAGCCTCTCTGGCAGCAATGGCCTCCCTGAGGTGACCAGCATGCTACAAGGAGGCTCAGGAACCAGAGCTTTTACCTAAGAGTTCCTGTGCCTGAGAGGCTGCTGCTGCTGGGACCTCAGCCCAGCTCACTCCAGCCTCAACACTATTTGAGCTTCTCCCACCTTCCCTGCCTCATTTGCCCTTCACGGCAGTCAGGACACCAGATCTTGTTTAGTGATCTCCTCCTTCTCAGGAAGATGAACCCTTTGAGGGCAGAAACTCTCCTCATCAAGCTCATCCTGAATCTCCAATACCTAGAACAGTACCTGGTCTGGGACGCACAGGTGAATGCCTGCTGGATCGATGAGCAAATGAATGGAACCAGGTTCTAAAAACACCAACCTAGAGGCAAGCAGAGCTTCCATTTCACTGTATTTTCAATAAAAATACAAGGTACCTCGGAGTTACTTTCATCCCCCTTCCTGTTCCGTCTTAATTTAAAATTCATCACAGAGACATCAACCCTAAAAGCAAGTCCCTTTTGGTTGTACACCGGGACATCTCACAGGCATGCAGATGGAGAAGAGCACACGCAGTGCTAATCAGACTACACGGAGACCGTGAGCATTTCATGCTAATGGTCCTAGCCCAACAGTTGTCAAGGTATGTATGAAGCAAAGCTCTGCAAATGGAAGATGCAGTAAAGACCCTGCCATGGAGACTTCTGTGGGCTACTGCACCGTCCCTGCCCGCACCCCAGACACTGTCCCTGTCATCTTGGAAAGAAAGAAATGCCACTCAAGGAATAAGAAAGAAATCTTAATTATTTCACTGGACAATTTTTAATTTTCATATTTGCTTTTCCTACCTGTCATATTATAAACATATTAAATAATATGGGTTTTTTAACACCAGCATTTCCATCACACCAAATTACAGATTTAGAAATTTCTATTTTAGAAAGTTGATACAGAAAACCATTGAGTTTTCCAATAAAATTAAACCTTTCTGAGCTTTTTGCTTTCACATTAAGCTTGATAATTTTGCTTAACTTTTTATAGGCTGGTAAATGTGTAACTTCATCCATTACTCTCCAAAGTTAACTACCCCCTACCTAGTTAAATTATCTTATCTGGTCACAGAGCTAATCACAGCATGCAGGGGAATAAAACCCAGTTCTTAAGTAAAACAGCAAAGAAGTTTTGATAACAAATAACGAGTAGGCTTTGCGTGTACCCATGTGTAAGAATATCCACTGTAGCAACGTTTGTTATATGTGAAAACATACCCAACTGCGTACATACTTTGACTCCTGCTGGGACAATACATAATTGGGTGCAGCCTTGCAGGGAACCAAGTGGCCCGGGATGTAGTGGAATGAGGCTTTCCTTTCTGTCGGTACTGTGTGCACGCTTATTTTTTTAAAGCTATCAGTAAAAATGTATTGCTTTATGTCAGAAGCATTTCTGAACTCTACCTATCTTGCTCAGTACTGTATCTCCTAGGCCCTAAAACAGAGAAGGCCGACCACATTAACAGGTCATAGAGGAGAACCTGTCAAACGAATTGAGTTTGTTTTATGCGTTCACTGGACAAACAGAAGTTAAAAAAATTATTATTCCAAAAATCTAAAAGAATTCAAATGCTTTACAATACATAAATTTACAAAGAAGTGAAATTAGCCTCTGTGCCAAGATGTATTTTGTGGATGATGTTATCACTTCATAGCTAATCCTTCCCCCATGGCCTCCCAGTAACGACTGCATGAGCACGTCACACCAGAGACACACGTGTCATCAGTTTCTCAGAGCTGTACCAATTCTCTCTAAGCCATTGCCCTGGCAGGAGGGCCTCCTTTTTTCCTTCCCAAGTATAGCTTCCAATTTGATGTAGATGTAGCAGGATCTACCCAGTCTTAGGAACCCTCAGACTATCTAACAAAGCATCACTCACAGACAATACATTCCTTTGAAATCCTGTGTGAGTTCACTCCTCTCCACCACGGGCAAGATCGAGCACCCAGCTCAGCCTGTCTCATCAAATATTTACCCAGCCCCTGTTGTGGCTGCCGATGCATAGTGGGCTCTGCTCTCTGGAGGCACCGCGCAATGAGAGACAGTTGCTTCTCTTACCCAAGAAGGAACTGTCTTGTATCAGCCAACCTTCTACCCTTTTTTCCATCTCCCTTTCCCCTCCGGGAAACCCTCAGCAAGCAAAAAGGATACAGTAGGCTCAACCCCAGTGAAAGATGGTCATGAAACAATTAGCTTTTCTACCTTCTAGGAACAGCTGCTCTTAAAACAACCTAGTGCTTTGGAAAATGCAGCTCGGAGTGGACCTTTCGAAGCAATAAAACATACGGCTACATTTAAGAGCGAGAACGAAGAGGATTAAATACACATTTGTATTCTCAATTAAAAAACGACGGTTCTATCATCTTAATTACGCCACGAAACGTAAAGAAACAAGTTTGCTATCATGCCACTTCTCGTTCCACTTTGAGAATGGAATGCAGTCATCGTTGGTCTAAGAGGGAAACAAAATGCCTGTATCAGAAGTAACGGCCCCAACCTGCCGACTAAAAATATTAACTGCGAACTGAACCCCACAGTGCAGATGTCCGACATGGAAATCGGGACGGGAACACATTTTAGGTTAGGTTCGCCAGCGTGTAAGCGCGACTCCGACGCGTGTCAGCGTCCACAGCCCAGTGTGACACCTTCCCTCGCACCATCCACCGCGCAGTCATTTTCCTTCCCCCGTGTGAACACATCAAAAGTCACCTCGGGCCCCCAACTGCCCCAGATTGTTCCCGATCGCTGCAGACGCCCCGCACCCGCAGGAACTTCCCCGCGCGGGGGGACACTGCGCCCTCGGGAGGAGACGCAGGACCGTCCAGGGCGCAGCCTCGTCCCCAGCGCAGTCTCCACTCCGGGAGCAGAGCGCGCCCTCCCCACAAGGCAGCAGCGTCGCCCGCCCGGCCCAGCCTCGTCTCGGCGCAGCCTGCTGTCCCCCAGCGCAGCGTCCCCCAGGGACAGAGGCTCCCGGCCCCGGGCGCAGCCTAATTCCCCGGGCAGCCTCGGATCTCCGGGCGCAGCCTCATCCCCAGCGCAGCCTCCGGCCCCGGGCGCAGCCTCGTCCCCAGCAGCCTCGGATCCCCGGGCGCAGCCTCGTCCCCAGCAGCCTCGGATCCCCGGGCGCAGCCTCGTCCCCAGCAGCCTCGGATCCCCGGGCGCAGCCTCGTCCCCAGCAGCCTCCGGCCCCGGGCGCAGCCTCGTCCCCAGCAGCCTCCGGCCCCGGGCGCAGCCTCGTCCCCAGCAGCCTCGGATCCCCGGGCGCAGCCTCGTCCCCAGCAGCCTCGGATCCCCGGGCGCAGCCTCGTCCCCAGCAGCCTCCGGCCCCGGGCGCAGCCTCGTCCCCAGCAGCCTCGGATCTCCGGGGCACCGCGTCCTCTCCCCAGAACGCAGCCTGGGTCGCCAGGGCGCAGCCTCGTCCCGGCGCACCTCCCTCCCCGCGGCGCGGTGCATCCCACGCGGACTCGGCGCCCGCAGGAAGGGACGCGGGGCCGCCCGGGACGCAGCCTCCTCCCGGGCGAAACGCTCCAGCAGACGGGCGCCCCGGGAGGGTGGATGCCGGGCGGTGTCAGGGCAGCCTCGCCGCCCCGCGGGCGCCCTCCGCTCCCGGGACGGCCCGCAGCCTGGGCCCCGCCGCCAGCCCCTGCCCGGCGCTTACATAAACGCCGCCGCCGCGGGGTCCGGAGCCTCCGCGCCCGCCCTCACCTCAGCCGCGCCGCGCCTGGTCCTCCACAGCGCGCCCCAGGCTCCCGCCGCAGTCCTGGGCCGGGCGGCTCTCCGCCTCGTAGGCTGTGAGCTGCGGCGCGGCGTGGCTCTGGCCTCGCGCGGCCCGGAGCCCCGGCCGCCGACCCGGCCGCTCGGCAGCCGCCGCCGCCGCCGCAGCCAGGGCCGCCTCAGCCAGGGCCGCCTCAGCGCCTCAGCCCAGCCACTGGCGGCTCCGCCCCCTCCCCGCCCCCGCCCGCCGGGCGCGCGCGCGCCGAGGGGCGGGGCCGGCGCCGCGACGCCGGACGTGCGCGCGCATGCGCGCCTGCTTGTCGCGGTCAGTCGGGGCTGTGGCGTCTCCCTCGGGACCAGCTGCAGCGGGCGAGCGTGGGGCCGGGACCCTGCCCGCGTTCGAGTCCTCCTCTGGGTGCGCGGCTGCTGCGTTTGGGGGACGGGGTCTCACTGTCGCCCAGGCTGGAGCGCGGTGGCCGGATCTCGGCTCCTGCAGCCTTGACCTCCCGAGCTCACGCGATCCTGCCGCCCCAGCCTCTTCGGTGGCGGGGACCGCAGGCGCCCCGCGCCCGGCTACTGGCGTTTGCGTTTGTGGAGGTGGCGTCCGGAGCTGCCCAGGCTCCCTGCTCCGGGGCCCACGCGCTCCTCCCCGCAGCTGGCGCCGCCCCTGCTTCCCCGACTCCCTGAGGTGTCTGCGACGCGCTGGGCCCGCCCCGCATTGGGTCAGAGCCGGCGGCCGGCGGGGGTCGCAGGCCAGGACCGCGGAGGCGGCGCCCTCGTCTCCGGTTTGTCCGCACTGACACCAGCAGCAGCTCCCACTTACGTCTGGGGGTCGGTGGTTTTGTTTGGCTGATTTTTTTTTAGGTTGATAGTAAAAGCATTTTAAAGGTTTTTTTTTTTATTTTTGTTTTTTACAGCATATGCAATAGACTCACTGCCCGATTTATCTGCATTTACTGACTTCCACAGTTATACCAAGAAATGTTTACACGGATGATGATAAGCACATGTGCAAATGCAGCGTTTTCACCGACCCGGGTAACCAACTCCCGGCTGCAGTTCTCTGCACGGAGATGAGGCTTGATGGGGAAACTCCGCAGCGACCTGAGCCTAGAGGAGCAGCTGGGCACGGTGGGCAGAGCCCGGTGTGGACAGGCGCTGGGTCCTGCACCTGGCTGGGGGGAGCTGCAGGCGCCAGGGTCAAGTTGAGGGTGTGCTAGTCCTGGCCTCCGGCCTCAGGTGGCCCACTCTGCCCTCTGCCTGTTTCCTCCCTTGTAAAGTGGGGAGGAACGGACCATCACAAGCCAGGGTTGGTGGCACATGCTGTGGTCTCAGCCACTCAGGAGGCTGCACCTGGAGGGTCACTTGTGTCCCAGAGCTGCGCTCCAGCCTGGGCAACGCTGAGACTCGGGCTCTGAAAACCCACAAAACGTATAAGATGAACGCAGATAAACGATGGGAGCCTGGTATGTGGTGAGCACGCTGCAGGTGGCAGCCTGGAACCCAGGACAGGTCACTGCCTGGTGGAAAACAAGCCTGTCTTTGGGGCCAGCCAGCTAACAAGTGAGCGTTTCACCCCATCTGAAGGCAAAGTACCCAAATGGGCAACCGTGGACAGCTAAGTAAAAATGAGGACTCCTGGGATGCCTTCTCAGGACACATTCTTAATAAACAGATACGTGCATGAGGACATTGTGTGTATTTCTATGCAGCAGACCACCCCAAACCTCAGTGAGCAAAAACCTGTCTTCACTGCTCATGACCCTGTGGGCCTGCAGCTTGAGCCGGTTCAGCTGGGACGGCTTCCCTCGGCCCCACGAGGTGACCACTGGGCCTACTTATCCGCAGAGGCCCCCGGCAGATCCGGGCCATGTGTCACCAGTCCCTACAGGCTGGCCGGGCCTCCTTCCCGGCAGGTCTCCATCGGCAGCGAGAGAAAGCAAATCCCTGTGGTGTTTCCATCCATCTCCCCAGGAGAAGCAGGTGAGATGGCCTGGGCCTGAGTAGATGTGAGGGACTGCACGGGGGACAGGCGGAGGGAAGCATGGCTTATGGGGGCAGTCACTGTGGCAGTCTTCTGCAGGCCTTCACTTAGGTAACACTGGGTGTGGGGAACACAAGGTAATCCCCAGAAGGGAGGCTGCTTATGCAAGTTTCAACTTGTCCTCTTTCTCCCTCCAGAGCAGCAGAAAGCGGATGGTGGCCAAGGCCGGGACCCTCTGCTGTTCCCACAGGCCTCTCCAGAGGCTCTGCAGGACCAGCCAGCAGCCTCAACTGGTCCCTTCCTGTTCCACACCCTCAGATGCCATCCTCTCCACAGAGATGGTTTCTGCCATGGTGCTCTCCCTAACTTGGAAGAATGGCACTCCCCTTGGGCTGATGTCAGGGAGAACAGCAGTTTCCAGTCGCCTGGGCCCAGGACAGGGTGTTCCCAGCTGTCGTGAAGCATGGAGCTTCAGGATGCCCATTTGGGTGCCTCTGAGATGAGGTGCTTTGAGAAGGAATCCTGCAGTCTCCTGAGGAGGTCCAAAGAAATTTTGAGGATATCTCAGCCATCTGTTCCCTGTTCACTGTGGAAGTCGAACACCAGGGCTCCTGGAGGGGCCCTGGGTCTCCACAGAAGCGCTGGCAGCCACCATCTACTTAATGGACTTCCGTGCCTGCCCCACCTCTGTTCTGTTGTTTACTCTCTCCTTTGTGGGAATTGTGGAATAAACAATCACTTTGGTGTCCGGGAAAATAAACCTGATGCTCGAGGGCTTGAGTGCAGGAATCCAGCGAGGCTCCCTCTGTGCACCCCAGGGTGCGGAGTTAGGTTTTGCATAAGCATGTGACACGTCAGCCGCTGTGAAACATGGTCTACACAGCACCAAAAACCCATTTGGCTGTGTTTTCCCTTCAGTAGAGTTAAATGGCATGACCCTGTGACTGTCCCCCACAAGAATTACAAATTATGCTGGCACTGCCAGCCTACAGGATACAGTGGCACAAAATGATTTCCGCCAGCTTAGGATATAGACCCAGGCAGACTCGAGAGATTAAGTGGATTTCAAACTGTGGTCTCGGGCCTTCCGGGAACTGCCCGAAAGGGAGGGAGGGTGCCAGCCTGGGAGTGGCCCAGCTGCCCAGCCTATTCACACACTGGGCTTTCAGTTGAAAAGTGTTCAAAGCTTGCAGGTGTAAATGCCACTGATCTGTGAACTCCCTTCCTGTCATGCCCAGAGGCTGGCAGAATGTGGCTAGAAGGGTGGGACCAGAGGGCTGGGTCACATGACCTGCGCACGGGGGTGCTGGCCTCCCTGGGCCAGGGTGGCCAGCAAAGCCTCTCTTTCCCTTTCCAGCCACACAGGTCAATCGCATGCTTGGATTTCTGTCTCCTGAGTTACAGAGCGTGTTGCCAACCTGCTGTGCTGAGACAGTGGCCCGGTCTTGGTCCCGGTGTCCTAGGACTGATTGAAGAAGCCTATTCAACTATAGTCCCTGTGTACAACCAAAGATGTAGCTTTAAACAATCTTGGCTTGTTTTATTTAATTCTGCCCCATCTATCTGAGGAAGGACACTCACAGGTACTTTTTAGATTATAGCCTAAAGTGGATTATTGATTTCCTTGTTTCTAAACCATCAGGAGGAGCATAAAACTGCTAATAAGAGGTGACCAATATTCCATGATATCGTGATTTGAGACATAACATTTTTTTGCCCTGTATTTTAAAAATAAAAAGACATGAGACTGGAATGGCATAAACCAGATGGTGCCAAACCATTCAATCAACAGCTGTCATGGTGGTGGATACCTTGTGTAAGACCCGACAAGCTCACGGTGTGCCACCATCCCCGGGACAACTCCCACAGTGATGGAGCAGGAGCAGTCAGTCTGTGTGCTCTGTGACAGGCATGCAGCCCACCCCCACTCCAGGACATCAGGGGGGATTCTGACTCCCAGCATGGCCCTGGGTGCTTAGAGCTGGCACTGAGACAATTGTAAGTCTCTCTTCGTGCCTAGGCCTGAAAAGTTTAAGTCCAGCGCAATTAGGATGGTCTCTATCACTTGCCAGCCTAAAGAGACAAAAATGGTGTAGACATACAGGGGCAGGCGAGAGAGGACATTCCAATGACCTTTCAGGGCCGTGGGCAGTGTGCTGTGCATGGGTGAACACGTGGCCAGGAAGACATCTTTGCTTCAGGGCGTTCATGTTCTCGTGGGGAGATGGCATCAGGGAGCGGCACAGTGTGATAACTGGGACACGTCCAGGGCAGGAGCAGAGGCGTGAGGGTCAGTGCGGACCAGGCTGTGCCATGCAGCGCTGACCAAGTTGTCTGGCCTCTCTGAGCCTGCTCTGCATCTGTAAGAAGGAGTCGAAGGATGAAAAGGCTCAGATGGTGACATAGAAATGCAGTTTCCTAATAGAGAGGCATGTGAACAATTGCAGGAGCCAAGGGCGCTGCAGCCACCCCACTCAGGAGCATCAGAGCAAGCTGCAGGAAGCTTCGCTGAGCCTTGGAGGATGAGAAGACATTGATGGCAGGAGCGCCCACAGCAGAGGAAAGAGCACCTCCTTGGCACGTAAAGTCAGAGAAGAAAGGAGGCTTAGCCACCACTGGTCAGAAGAGTCCTCCTGATCGAGCCACTTAGACCTGCCCTCTGTAGAGACAAGGGAAAGGGAACGTGATGCGCGATCAAATCAGAGGTGGGCAAGCTGAGCCTTGGCCTGACGCTGTGCAGTCCACAGCTAAGAATGAACATTAAACATGGAAAGTGTTGGATTGGATGGGGTTCTGAAGAAGATAAGCAGTGGGCTTATGTGGCCAGCAGAGCTGTAAATCTTTGCCATCTGGCGCTTTACAGAGAAAGGCAATCCCTGGTTTAGCCAAGTAGGGTCTACTTCTGGAGCTGGGAGTTAGAGCAGCTGCCACTGAAGCACACAGACCAAGGGGTGGCAGGGCAGAAACACAAACCCAAGTCGGCACCATGGGCAAGGCGACGGGATCTCTGAGGCACCCAGCGGTGTCTGCCTGGAACTGAGGCCTGCGTGCAGCTTCCATGCAGAACACTTGTATCAGGTGTCAAGAGTGAAAGTAGAAAGAGGTAAGAGGCTTTTGGAATTACACTCCACAGGACTTAGTGATGGATTCGCGGGAGGGGCGCGGGAAGGGAAGCATCGGGGCTCGCTCGGGGTCCTGGCTTGCACTATCGGTGGATGATGGTCCTCTGGGATGACGTGGGGGATGGGAGAAGAAACCCGGCATTCCTTTTGGGTGCGTTAAGTTTGCGGTGCCTACGGGATGCCTGAGTGGCTGCGTTAGGACAATAGCTATGTGCAGGAGACTGATGTCCGGAGAGGAGAGCCGTGCTGGGATGGATACCTGAAACCTTGAAAATGGAAGACGTCACCCATCACCTAAAGAGAGGGCGGAGAAAGGAAAGAAGGGAACCGGGGAATCTGGCACCAGATCCAAAGAGCCTTAGCCTAATATCAGAGGTGAGCACAGAAGAAGTGAGTGTGGGAGGTGGGAAGACCCAGCGAGGCGCGAGAGAAAAGACAGAAGTGTTTCTCTGGAGGCCGAGGCAGGGGCCTGCTTGACGCCATGACTTGGAGGCTGCAGTGAGCTATACCTCACACGGCATGTATTCCCTTGTGTCTTGATTCTTTCACTCAATCATGTATAAAGGGTAGAAGGAAGAAATATAATTTTAAATCTACAAGCAAAGTGTTAGATCGAATTAAAATTCAGCAAGATTACTGATTGTAAAAGTGACACACATGCACACCCCCCAAAATGGTTTCCATAGATCTCAACAAACCACATGTAACGTGGAAGCTGACACTGCTTACCGCAGTATCCGAGGTATGAGCTAAAAATAAGTCAACGGAGAAATACATGAGCCTTAAGCAGAAACTTATTTTTA